AGGAACAACAAGGTAAGGAAGATTAAACTTCCAAATATACAAAACCCAAATGCTGTGCTGAGGCTCCCCGGTGCTGGATCTCGCTGGATTGAGGTGGATTGAAGCTGGATGCACAATCCTTGGACGTGGATGGAGGCAGGGAAGAGTCTGTAGATCAGGCCCAGGTCTCCAAGATGGCCACGGCCACGTGTAGCACAGGGAGCAGCAGAGCAGCGTGTGCCCAGGTAGAAGGTCAAAGGAGCAAGAGGAAGAGCAAGAAGAGAAGAAGAGCAAGAGGAAGAGTCATGCCTTTCTTGCCCCTTTTATAGACTCTGTCAGGAAGTCCCAAAGACAGGAAAAAGGGGAGTGGGACTAGGACAGGTGTACGCCCCTTTCATTCAGGCTTGTACCTGGTTTAGGGTTTCAGATCTCCACCCACCAGGGGCAGCAGGTTTCAAACCATTACACTGGAGGAGAGGACGTCTTCCATTCAGACACAAAGCAATGGAAGCGTTTTGCTGGCCAAGGTCCCCACAGCAGATGGTGATGTGAGGTTCAGGAGCAGTGAGGGGTTCTGAACCTCTCATTTTCCATGCCTTCAACCAAGGGAATAAATGCTGCTCGTTACTCTGTGACCTACCAGGTCATCACTGTGCTGGCACCACAGGAGATGGTGTGGACAACTTGTTTCTCTGCTTTCATTTGACTTCATAACACACCTGGGAAACACGTTCAACCCCATTTCAGAGGTGGGCAGCTGAGGCCCACAAGAACTAAGGACTGGGTCTGCAAAAAGCTGTAGGTACCTTGTTTGTCCAACAATGTCTAACATTGTCCACACCCCCAACATGTCGAGGCCATCAAGTCTTTGTCCTGTTTCTACCAAAATAGTCACTCCAAAGAAGTTTCCTCTACCAAAAGCAGGTGTCTTCAAGGCTGTTTGGCCCAGATGATCCCACAGATGTTGAAGATCTACCCAAGAGATAATCCCATAGATGCTGAAGATCTACTCAAGAGCCAGTGAGGCTGCAATTCACCTCATCTCAAGTACTAACCAAACCACCACGAAATCACACAAGGAAGGCTCACATCATCACATCATCCTCACAAGATAAGGCTCTCATGATTATCATTCCATTTTTTCCACTTATTTTCCTAATTTTAGAGCCTTTCAGGAGCTGGAAACCAGAGTTCTGTTCATGTTGTACCAGACATTCCCCTCTCTATCCAAACCTCATCTCTTTTGAAAGCCAGAAGCTAAAGAGGACATCATCACATCTTTTCTGGCCTTGAGTAGAATAAAAGCCACAGAATTTAATTCAAAACCCTCCTTGATAGCCCAAATAACTGATTAAAATGTGATTTCCTGAATGACAATCAGGCTTAACGCATCATCTACAAGACAATTTAAGAGCAATTTTCTTTGGTCAAACTTATCATTAGTGACAACCTATAGAAGCAAGACTGCTCAAATAATAACTCTTTCTTTTTATTGTTCCATTTTAATTCATTATTAACTAATTTCAAGACTTGTTGGATGGAGAATGCCACGAAAAAAAACAATTGACAAAGAGAAAATGGCCTCAACTTGTGCCAGGGGAAGTTTAGTTTGGATAGTAGAAGAATATTTCTTCACTGAAAGGGTTGTCAACCCCTGGAAAAGGTTGAAGTGGTTGAATCACTATCCCTAGATGTGTTTAAAGGTCATGCAGATGAGGTTTATAGGTGTTAATGGATGGACTCCATGATCTTAAAGCTCTTTTCCAACCTAAACAATTCTATGATTCTACAGAACTGGAGCCTCTAGCCCCCAAATTACCATTTTTTGAACCATTTTTCCTTCCATTTCACAACATTTGTGCTTTCTGATACCGTCTTTACAGGGTTAAAGCAATATGGTGGAATCCCCAGTACTCAAAACTCAACCAAACATCTCAAATTCTGGGTTGACAACCAGAGAACATCCTGTGGGACAACAACTGCCTTCACACTGTGCTACCCTTCAATTCCCCATCAACGCCTCATTCCCAAGTGATGATGGGATTTAAATCAAGTGTCCCTTCTGGACTCCTACATGAGCCTCAGGATCTGTCCCTGTATCAAATCCACGGGGCATTTCCTTCCAAAATATCTCAGCTGGCTCTCACTGCACCCCAACATTGGGTTCTTTTCCTCCTTCCCTTTTTATCCAGACCTAGCAGATACCACTGCAAAGCAACTGGTGGAGAAGTCTTCATAGAAGAAGAAAAAAACCCCTGTGTTGTATTTGCAGCTATGTCTTGAAAATATAACTTAAAAATAGGAGGAAATTTCTTATACTTCACGTTCCTGAGATGGACTCTTTAGAAAAAAATGAGATTAAACAGATTTGCTTTGCAAACACAAAAAAAAAAACCTGACAATGCTTCGGATTAGCTTCAAAATGGCAAAAGCTTTAGATACAAGCTCTTGATGGAAATCTCTGTTCCTCAAAGGTTTCCAGACAGCCTTTACAAGAACATCACTTAGGACATGAGCAGAACGCCACCAAAATTCCAAGTTATTGCTCAGTTGGTAGACCAAGTGAAGTCTACCACCTCCTGTCCTACCTTTCTGACTGCTTTAGGGACCTTGAAAATCTTAAATCTCATTTCTCTTTGTTTTTTTTCTCTCCTCCTCTTTCCCAGGCCACCACAGAACCCCCAAAAAAGAAGCCAGATCCTGTCACTTCGGAGACGGTGGTGATCTGGGGGCTGCGCCTCTGGCAGGTGATTGGGATCTTTGCCATCTTTGTCCTGGCAGTCAGTAAGTCCTAATTCTCTGCCTTGCACCCACCACAGCACCACCTCGAGTAGGACTCCTTCCTGGAGGACTCCAGAACGTGGCCATGAAGGTCACAGGCTGGAGCTGATGGGTTTCACAAGGGGGTTTGTGCAGCAGGGAGAAGCAGGTGGGGTCTTGGAAGGAACCACAGATGGGTCATCGTGGCTTCCTCTTGTCACATGCTGATCAACAGGTCCTAGCTGGTGGCATCTCAGAGAGGAGATGCTACAGGGCTGTGCCACAGTTGAGACCTTGTGCAGCTCTGGTACCATGGCCAAGCTCAAAGGCATGTCCACAGGCTGCAACAAGAACCTCAACAGGTCTGCAGTCACAGCCAGAGCTGCCATGAAGGTCCCCAACTTGTATTCTGGGTGCCAAGACTTTCAACTTGATTCTGGAAGGGCCTTCAGGAGTTAAATAGTTCCTTTTTTTGTCCCCAGGCAGTAGGGACTGGCTCAGAGCTGGTGGCTGCAGGGGAATGGGATCAGACCCTCCCCCAGCACGTTTTGGGGATCCATCTGGGAATGACAAATCCTTCTGCCCGAGGGTATTCACCCCTTGCAGCTCCCTCTCTGCAAAGAGTGTAGACCAGCTTCAACATGCTTTGCCAACCACTGCCACGAGCTGCCTGGCAAGAATATCACTTAGGACACGAGCAGGACACCATCAAAATTCCAAGGAAGGATCTTCTGCTTGCTCCTTGAGCCAACTATAACCTCACACCAAAACCCAGGTCCTTTAGATACGAGCCAAACATGATAAATCCCTTTTCTTCCCCATCTTCTGGTTGCTCTGTAAACTTTTACAACATGTAGTCAAAGGACCCTCCTCCTGCAGGAGCTGTGCAGAGCCAGAAGGTCTCCCCTGAGCCTCCTTTGCTCCAGGCTCAGCTCCTTCAGCTGCTCCTCACAAGACTCATCCTCTGGACCCTTCCCCAGCTCTGTTTAACCCACGTATTCACATTCAAAGCAAGTACAAGCATGTTACTCTTTTTTATTCACCCTTTCATTGCCTTTTTTTTCAAGTCAGAGGGATAACTACTCCTCCAACTTGCCTGCTCTCCATCAATTAAGCTTATGCTAATTAATCACATGCCACAACACCCTTTGCAAACAATAGGGAACCCCACAGAGCCAAGTAAACGTGGCCAAGCTCCAACCCTAGTGACTCCACGAGAAACAGGCATCCAAATTCCCAACAACAGCTTCAGAATTCAAGCAGATTAGTGGAAAGTCTTGTTGAGCTGATTTTCATTGGTTTGGGGGGATATAAAATTGGAAAGAAATTAGTGGAGGAGGACCAAGCATTTTATAGGTCATAGGGGTTTGATTTGGTGAGTTTCAGGGGGATAAATAGATTAAACACATCACAAGATGTCACGGAGTCAGTTTATGGCTCCACTCTCTGTTCCTGCCTCTTTTTTTGGAAGCTTTCTTGCACTGAGCAGATTTCAAAGCAACAGCAGCAGCTCAGTCAGCTTCATGGAAACAATAAATTCTTGGTGAAGACATTAACTCTTAACCAAACCCATGATTCAAATCAAACAAGACAAGGTTCAAAAATAATGCCATCAAAATAACTGAACCATGCAGGCAGTTCTCACCGAGGTCTCATGTCTTGCTCCAGCATCCTCCTCCTCCTCCTCCTTCACTTTGAGATCCCCAAAGCACTGGTGGTTCCCCAGCTTTACCAGCAAAAGCTTCAACCCAGGAGCAGACACAGGTTTTCCTGTGAAGGAGCTCTTGGAAGCTTCCTTGATATCAGTCCAGGACACCAAGTGATGATCTAGTTTTCTAATGGAGCTGGAGAAGATCTTTGATATGGTTTCCTTGTCCTGGTTCCAGGAGCACCTTCCAGCTCAGAGCAACAGAAGCACAACCTTCCACACCAGGAGACAGAAGAAGAATCTTTGCAGGGCTTCCTGGGGCCTGCAGAGGATCCCAATGATTGACCACCTCCCTTTGTTATCCAAGCTTTCAGGGTGTGTCTACTTTGGCATGGGACTTCAGGTGAGGAGCCCAGGAGGAGAGGAACTGAGATGCTTCCCTGGGGGTGATTGTGGAGCACATGAGCTGGATTCCTCTCCATTCAAATGGAAAGAGAAGATAGTTGGTCATAAAATGATCTAGGTGGGGTTTCCAGCTCCTCTTCTTATCAGCTTCCACGAGATGGCACCATCCCCTAAGAAAAGGCAGAAAAATTCCCACTCCAAACCTCTCTTAAGTGCCCTTCGTTAATGACAACAAAACAATTAGCAACCTCTACATAAAAAATGGATTCTGTGTAAATACACACCACTGAAGTGGGCCAAAGGTCTCTTGGGAGATCTTCTAACACCTAAAAAGGGTTTTTCTGGGCAGGTTACAGACCAAAGGGAGCAACTCCTACCTCTACCCAGCAGGGACCAGAAGCAGTGAAATGTTGGCACACCTCTTAGCAGGTTTTTTTCAGAGCCATCCAGGTCTCTTTTTCCCTTTGTTTCTGCTCTGGGGTTGGATATGTCACCAGAAAAACAGAAATTTGGGAGTAAACCAGCCCACAAGTAGAAAATAGAAGTTAGTAGCATCTGCAGAGCATCACTCAGGTGACCCTGGAGGAGTAACTCATGGATGTGTCTCTCATGAAACCATTCTTGTTCATCTAGTGAGATATTAGGAGGGTCAAATCTTTTGGGTGCAACTTGAGGAGATAGAGAAAAGCTCATTTTTAAAGCAAACACAACACCTACAAGGAAAAATCTGCAAAAACAAAAGGAAGTTTCTCAGGTACCAAGCTCAGCAGATCAACTCTCTGCTCCTCCTCCACCCCCAAGATTTTAACTTGGTCGTTTTGTGCTTGGTTAAAGGAACCTTTTCTTTTGGATATTTGACTTGTGTGGAGCAAGGGAGGCTGTGAGAGCCCTGAAGTCCTTATCAGGGTTGATTCTCAGCACCAGGCATATCTCAGCTGCTTTGGGTTGCTCCTCTGAGTGCTGGTTGATAAGGAGACCCTTGCAGGGAGGAGCAGAGACAATGGATGCACCTGACTTCTCCTTGGAGTCACTTTGATGAGACAATAGACAACTGAGAGGAGATTAGCTGCCAGGAGGATTTGATTCACTCAGCAGCACTGCTGCCTGGTCTCTTGGAGTCCCTTTTATCCCTTCTGGTGCCAAGTCCTCAGTCTTCATGGGTGGGATTGACAAACAGAAGGTCCTGATCCATCCCTGGGAAAGCCAACGGGTGGCCCAAGACTTGCTCAGTGTCCTCTCCACCGTTTCACCCTTTTTTTTGGCATCCCAACCACCATCTACATTTTTAGGTAGCCCTGAGGGGGTTGATTTTCCTCTCTGGCTGTTACTGGAAGATCTGCTGGTCTCCTTGCTTACGTGCACCCCCAGGGCTGTGGGCAGCAGCCCAGCAGGCAGGATGCAGGCAGCAACGTTTTGAGGGATGCCCCACTGATGAGTCCAACTCGAATCACAGAACAATTGCCCAGGAAAAGCATCATTAAACACATAATCCTCTTCCTGTCCTGGTGTTGGTCTTGTCCCACCATCTCTGGGAACTCTACTTGCCATGGACAGTCAGGGAGCCCATCCAATAAGAGGAGATCACTCTTCCCCAAGGGTTTGTTGTGACCCAAAAGCAGGACCCAGCACTTGGCCATGTTGAACCTCATGCTACTGGTCTCAGCCCACTGATCCAGCCTGTCCAGATCCCTCTGGAGACCTTCCCTACCTTCAGCAATAATACACGTGGAGATGGCTGCAAGGTGTCACAGGGAACATCACCTGGGACAAGGGAGGGCCCTTACCTGTGGACAACAAGTTGAGCTCCTCTATTGCCCTCAGCCCAAGTTCTCACATGGAAACCTGTTACCCACACGTGAAAAACTTCTTGCTGGTTTGCACTTGTGTGCCTACAAACCAGCCCCAATCCCCAAATTCTTGGTACCACCATAGGTAGCTCAAGCTGGGCATGAAATAGGGCTCTTAAGAGAAAGTCTTTAACAAAGGAAGGACCATTTTTGAAGCACTGCAATTAAAAATAAGTAAACGTTCTTTCTGGTTGATTATTTTGATAACAAATAACCTGTGATGTTCTTGCTTTGTGCTACCACGTTATCTGAAGCTCCTGCTGTTGGGTCTGCTCACAAACACACAATCCCTCAAGGCTACTACCAAAGTAGCTGTGATCCTTATCAGCTACTGGGTGACCCTTGTGGTCCCTTCCAACCCTGACAGATTCTGATCTGTTTTAGCAGAGGACTTTAGAGCCCTAATGGCTCAATGGTTGGACTTGATGATCTTGGAGGTCCCTTCCAACCTAAATGATTCTATGATTAAATCCTTGGAGGTGCCATGACCTGAGGCTGGCTTCTCTTAAATGTGTCACCTTGAGGGACTTGTGACTGGAGCCTGCAAGGGGAAGAACTGAAGTGTTTGACCATGGTGGGGCTCCAAAGCTCCTCCTTTGTGGGGGTGTTCCCACCAGCTGGAAGCCTAACCAACTTCTTCACCTTCTGAAGGTCCCAGGGTAAATAAGAGCCCATATCCCAGCTGGAGTGAAGGATTGTAGGTGACATCCATCTGTTGCTTGAAGTCTGGGTGTAGACTGGGCTGAGCTGCACAGGTTAGATCCAAACCTGGTTTTGTCCTTCCCAAATCACAAGGTCAACTGTGGGTGTTGAGATCCTGGACTTTGTCACTAGCTCCTGCTGGACAGAAAAGACAAGCTCAACTTCCTGATTCTTTTTTAAAATCAATGCTTGGGGAGTTATTTCTCCTTGCTGTGGAACAACCACCCTCAGATCTTGCCTCAGGCAGCTGCAGTGTTGGCTCCTCCTGGCATGGAGACAATGGAGAGGGTTCAGTCCCAAACCTCCCACCCCTTGGATTGGTTAATCTGGTCAATCCCACTCCTGCTCCCAGCTTTTGGTGGGACAAGGTGGTTAGAGAGCCCCACCTTAGCCTTAGGAGCTGTTGCACCAGGCACAAAAGACCCCAGGGAAGAGACAGAAAGCATAAGCAATCAGGAGCTTTTTTTTCAATTAGGGCTCATTAATTAATAGCTCAGGTTGAGCTGAAGCATCTAATATGGACTTATCAACTACGATTCATCTCACCTATGTAGAGATGCCTTCAGAGTAGACCTCTAGAGTGATGAGATGAGAGAAGAAATGGGAATAATTAATGCTTCCTTTAATTAATGAGTCCTCAAGTGCCTTGTCATGGTCTCAGTTATGCTCCAGGGAGCTCCCAATGACTGTTCCCAGACCTGCTTCTTTTTTTTTCCCTCACATTTCCTAGCCCAGAAATCTAACCTTGCTCAGACCAAAATTTCCTAAGGAAACATTTGTTCTGATGAGAGGTTCAACCCCCCAAAAAATGCTGAAGAAACAAAGGGTTGCAAGGGAAAAAAAAAAAGGAATTCAAAAACCTCATCTCTGTTCAGTGCCTGGAGAAAAGTCTTCAAACAAGTGTCACATTTTGGTGAGCTTGTTGGGGAGAAGATCAGAAGGCCACTTGATTGCAGCACTGAAGGGTTGCAAGGGAAAAAAAAAAAGGAATTCAAAAACCTCATCTCTGTTCAGTGCCTGGAGAAAAGTCTTCAAACAAGTGTCACATTTTGGTGAGAAGATCAGAAGGCCACTTGATAGCAGCACTGAAGGACTTTGGAAAGAGAAGAAGGAAAAAGAAGTATTAAAGATCTTTTTAGATGAGAAGCCAAAGGGGAGAACAGATTTTTCTTGGAAGAACAGCCATAAAGTAGGATAAAATACAGGGCTGAGAAGGATTTTGAGAGGGTATCTAATCCTTCTCCAACCTGGGCATTAAATCTGACATTGTTACCATCTGTGGAGCTCTGTTTTCCAGAAGAAGGCAGATCCTGAGTCCTCCTTGCTGCCATCTGTCCCCAAACCTGAGCTGCCACAGCCAGGACGTGGTTCCATGCCCTGTGGATGGTTGCACACCCTTCAGAGGGACAAACCTCCTTCTTCTGGAGCCCAGCTCAGGGACCTCTTCTGAGGTACCTCAGTCATAGCTGTAGGAGCAGCAGAGACATCTTTAAACAAGGTGATTCAAGCACCACCAGCAGCATTGTCTCAACATCTGAGCCCTCCTGGTGGACCAGTCCTACCAGCAGCCACCCAAGCACTCATCTTCCTGAGGGTTTAGCAGCCTCCACGTGCCATTATCACAATTAGCCCACCATTAACACAGCCAAAACACCAAATTATCAACAAAATAAACAACTCCTTGAAGTTCTCATGGGGTGACAACTCTCCAGGTTTCTCACAGAGCATCTGAACACCAGTGCTGCACTTAACTTGCCATGGAATAAATCTGCATGAATGGCTTGCATTATTAACGAGGCAATGGCTGCCTAATTAACTCAGAGCAGCACAGGCTGCTTTGCAAAATTGTTAATTAAATGCCTCATTGGCAGGCTGGAGCTTTTTTCAGCTTCAAAGCAAGGAAACCTACTGTGGATTGCAGCCCATTTCCTTTCAATTCATAAAACTCTTCAGTTCTGTCGTAGCTCTGCTGAAATATTGCACCAAGAAGTCTCCAGAGAAGATATTTCACTTCCAGCTTTCCCAGCTCCCAGGAGAACCAAGTTGTTCCTTTTCTTCTTTGGGTTTTTAGTATTTTTTTTCCTTAATTTACTGCCCAGCTAAACTAGAAGCAACCATGTTACTGTTGAGGAGCTAGATTGCCTTCAGTGAAAAGAAAGGAGACCATGAAGTGGACAACTTGGCCACGTGGATATTTCATTGAAGCCAGTAGAGCTCCTTTCATGGTCTTCAGCATGTGCTGTTCAATCAGAAACCCAAATATTTTAGTTGAAGCCAGTGGGAGTAAACACAGAGCCCAGATTTAGTCACAAACATTGAAATATTTATGGTGGAAATTATGTCTTTAACGTTTGCTCTCTTCCTGTCCTTCAGATGAGAGCTTTTGGGGGTCATCCCTCCAACCTGAGTATCAAGAAGACATCAAGGCTGTAAAAATAATTAAAACATGCTTAAAAATCCAGAAAGGAACAAGCACCAGAGCTGTGCATTATTTCCCAAATCAGGATTATTTAGTAGATGCCAAAGAATGAAAATAGATCAAATAAACGACCTTTATTTCTGTCATTGCAGACAGCAGAAAGTTCATTCTTTTAAAACTCCCATTTCATGAAGGGCCAGCAAATATTTGTTTCCTTCTTAAAAAATTACATCTCTAACAATTAGCCTGGAAGAAACAGTGAAAAATGGTTTGATGCAAGGTCAGCCTGAATCTTCAGCGTGGAGAGAGAGCACCATGTGCAGGATCAGGCCTGGCGGTTTCCTTGAAACCAGAAAAGGGCCTTCAGAGCTCGTGGGGCAGGAAAGTGAAGAGTTAATATGAAAAAAAAATATAAGAAAATGATTTTTAGAAGCTGAACAGCAAAGGAAGCAACAAGATATTAGTGAAAAAGAAGAAAAAAGCTGTATTTGAATTGTGTGGTTCATGGAAGACACTGATTATCACAATAACACAAGGCTAAGTATTATTAAATAATAATTAAATAATAATACTAAGAAAATAATTTTCTTAATAAAGAAAAGCTGCAAAAATGGAGAGAATTGGCAGTTGCCCCACTACATTTTGTCACACAGGGTGTTTCTCCTTCTGCTTGAGGTGGTTTGGTAGCAGAGAAACCATGAGTTATGTCATGGCATCACCGAATCCCACCACGGCTGGGGTTGGAAGGGGGTTGAAATTCATCTTGTCTTGACCTTCAAGATGAAATTCATCTTGACTTTGCTTCACCAGCGTCACCCAGAGCAGGTTGTCCAGGATCTGCTCAAGCCCATGAGTTCCTAGTGTGGGAAACCCATCGGTGGTGGTGTGGTGACAATGAATGGTCTGAATCATGATTAGATGGAAATTCTGGAAGGAGAGTAGGTTGAAGTGTGGAGACAAAATATATCTCACTAGGAGTAAAAGCATCACCTGCATCTTTAAGATGTATGTAAAGAAGCCTAGCTCATGGCAAGAAGAATGATGGACTAGTAAGGTGATGATGGGGTGATTTAGGAGATTTGGGTGCTTGACTTGTCCTAAATGGATTTGGATGAAAGTTAATTAAGGGATAGATTGAGCTGGAACTACTTTGGAGGGTTTACAGCATTCCCCTTCCGAGCTCCTTGTTGCTTTCTTCATCTGGAGGTGCAGAGCCCCAGCATCCACCTACCCCAAAAATGGTGTAAGACATCTTGGCAGGAACCTCTAACAACACCACACTCTTGAAGGGTGAAGGTTCATCTCAATTGCTGCTGTCCTTACCAAAGAGATCATGAATTTAATTTGTTGATGCTCACCGGTGGCACCTCTGGTTCAGGACAATGGTTTGAGTTGTTCTGGTGGGGAGGACGTGCTTGGTCCTTCACCACAGCTCACCTGGAGGGTGCCAGTTCTTTATTTTGAGGTTCAGACTGGGTGAGCACATCCCTCAGGCAGGTCCTTCCACTGAGGTACACAGCTACAGGTTCCCACGGGAAGAAACTCTTCCAAAATTCATTTTTTCTTCCTGTGAAGGGTGAGGACCTTGCACTAGGTAGAGATCTACTGAATGGTCACTTCCCTCTCTCCTTTCCCAGTTATCACACTCTGCTGCATCTTCAAGTGCCGGATTCCCAGGACAAAGAAGGAGATTGAGGCACGTTACGCTCAACGGCAAGCAGCCAAGACATATGCAGACAAGCTGGAGACTGTGCCACCACTCAACGAGCTGACAGAGATCCCTGGAGGTACTTCCCACGCCCACACCTACACAGGAGACTCATCTTTCCTCTTGGGGTTGGTTTCTGTATGGGTGAATGCAAAGGAGTGTAAAGCACTGGAACTGGAAGAGGTAGATTTAGGTTGGATGTAAGGAAGAAGTTCTTCACTTCTGAGGGTGGTGAGACACTGGAAGTGGTTGGCCAGAGAAGTTGTGGATGCCCAGATCCAGAAGGTGTTCAAGAATAGGCTGGATGGTGCTTTGAGCAACCTGGTCTAGTGGGAGGTGTCCTTGCCTGTGGCAAGGAGGTTGGAACTGGAGGATCTTCCAGGTCCCTTCCAACCCAAACCATTCTAGGATTCCATGGTTCTGTGAAATCAGTGTGGCTCCTTGGGCACAACCACCAAGGTATTGCCATGACTGGATAAACCCCTCCTGTTCCCCTGCAGAATCCATGGCAGCAGGCACAGTCATTTAGCTAGAAGGAACAGTTTCTCTGGTGGGACAAGTCAGGGTTGTTCCTTTGAAGCCCAGGTTTAACATTGCCAGAGAGTCTGATTCATTTTAAGGGCCCGTTCCTGGGTTGGGGGATGTTGGTAGGAAGAGAAGTTCTTAGAGTTTCACATTAGTCTTGCCCTGTTTGCATGGCCAAGAGTATTTCTGCCACTGCTCTCTGCTGCTCTCACTCATCTTTCCTGATTCTGTACCCTAGGCTCTGCTGAAACTCTCCTAACTCTCTCTGGTCATGTCCAGTCCAGACCTCTCAACTCTCTGCCTGTGGTGAAAGAAGAAGATGAAATGGCCCTGCATGGAAATTAGGGGACTGCCTTCCTGTCTGTCTGTCTCTGGCTTCTCTTTTCTGATAAGATCCATCATACCTTGGACTCTCTGCTTCTCAACTTCTTCTCTGCACTTGACCTGTTTTTCTCAACACATTTTGATGATTTGTATTTCTCTTTCCTGTGTCTCTGCAAGCCCTGTACCCATAGCTTCATAAAAACTGGAAGTCTCCTTAACTCAAAACGTGATGAAACTGGTCAAAGAGGCAAATAACTGTAGAAAATTAGTCCTACACCAGCAAAATAGAGAACCACGTGCTTCTCAGTAGGAATTTGGACATACCTCAGTATTTCAGAGGTGGTCAGACATCTCACTGTGCCTACAAAATAAATTCTGGAGCTGAACCCAACTGGCATGAAGAAGCCTTTGTCCATAGAAATTCTCCTCGTGTCCAAAAGGTCACCCAAAGGTCTGGTTAATGCACTCTTACAGGTGTGAGAGTCACACACTGAAGTGCTTAGCCAATAAATTTTGATCTCCTGTAAGCAGATCCCACATCCAGGTACACAAGCTTGGTGTAGATTTAACCAGACCATGGTAAGTTGTCACAGTGTGGACTCATGATTAAATTACCACAAGAAAGCAATTTATGGGAAGACACCATAAGGACTACCTAATTTTTTTTCCAGCAAAACGTATAAGTTGAGTAGTTGACCATCCTTTGACCTTTGAGCATCCCAGAATGGTGGTCCTGGCATGGTGCAGGGTGGGAGGTTGGTGGATAACAGGTTGCTGATGCTGGTGTTTGGTAATGGCTCCTGACTGCATGTTCTCTGAAGCTCCTAGACCTGTTGGACTGGGCAGATAGATACAAATCTGCCCACGTTGGCCTGAAGGGGCTGGTGGTGGTATCCAGGAGTACACCATCCACACCTAGAGAGAAGCTTGCATCAACACTAGCTGTCTAGACTTGGTCCTTTTATCCACAGTGGACAATAAGAAGGATGTGATTCCATTCGTGGTATGGGAGGTGCTAAAGTGGAAGAGGTAAACTGTGCCTTAAAAAAGCCTCTGTGTCTCCAAACTTGAAGTCCTGGAAGGACCTAGACATTCAAAGTCAGGCTTGATGAGGCTCTGAGCAGCTTGATCTAGTTGGAGATGCCCCCGCTTGGAGCAGGGGGGTTGGGCTAGATGACCTTTGGAGGTCCCATCCAACCCAAACATTCTCTGATTCTGTGCAGAAGCTCTGGGTGATCAAACTCAAAGATTTGTCCTCTTGTCCCCAGAAAAGCTTCACAGAAAAGCTTCACGACATGATTTAGGCCTTTCAGTGGAAAATCTGGGACCCTTGGGGCCTCATCTCCCTGATGTTATTTTTATCTGTACAGAGCGTGATGCTCTCCAGTGTTTCCCCCCTGACATTTGGCAACCTGCCTTGATTTCTGTGATCCTGAAAGAGGATGGATGGACTTGTCAAGTCAATATTTCTACTGTGACAACCCCTGGCAGACCCAGCCAAGGCCAGAGAGATGATTGGAGTGATTTTAATTACTGAGTGGCCATTAAATGTGTTATAGATTTCTGTCTGGAATGCTATTAATCATTAATATATTGCAGTGTTTAAATACTCCCATTTCTTGGCATTATTTTACCCTATGTGACATCTACAACCATGGACTATTCTAACTGCTCTCCATGCACTTATTGGAGTATTATACACAGAAATCCCTTCTATTGGACAGAAATAAAATGGACTTTAGGGTTCAGTGTATAAAATATTACCTACGAGTTGATTCGTTTGCATTCTGCCTCTCAAGCTGTGGGAGAAGTACAAGCAGGACTTGGCTTGGGTGGAGATACATTGCCTGGGTCCATGGCCTGGGAGAACTTCAAGTATTCTGGTCTGAAGCTGCTCCAGCTGAAAGTTTTGGGAGTTCACCCAGTTTCTACCATGTTTGATGCAGACAATGGGGTGGTGGTTTGGTTTATTCTTTCCACTCTTTTTTTATATAAGAGATATCAGGATTTCTCCATTTCCCAGACTCTTTCTAAAGAGTCTGTTGTTCTACTCCCATCTGTGTGTGAAAACAAACTGCCAGTTGCCAAGGTCAAAGGGTGATGCTGTATTTCAGTGGCAATGCTCAAGGAATAGTTTAGGTAAACCTGACAAACTCAAGTTTGATTGCTGCCATTTGCAAGTGACACCAGAGACATCTGTAGAAATGGGAGATTTGGGGCTGCTCAAGCACATTTGGGTCCAGTGGCTGCAGGGAAAGGTTGAGACATTTCAACCAAAGAGCCATATGAAGTTATCTCCTAAGCCAGTTCATTGTCATCATGCCTTAGCCTGTGACAAACATGAAATAATTGGGCTTAGCCTGATGAAGAAAGCTTAACAGTGACCAATCACCCTCGATTTCCTGAGGCCACTTCCAGGTCACTGCTGCATCTGGTTGATTTTTATGTACATGGTTATATACGTGTGTGTCCAAGTCCTGCACTGGGGATTTTCAGAGGAGGAGGTCATGGGAAACTTAACACGTTTCCACTTCTGATGCTATGAGTCTTCCCACCTGAAATATGGGCATGGAATCCAAGAGAGTCAAAATATTCCATCAGGAAAGATGTTATAAGCTTCTTATAATTATGACTTAAGACATATCAAACCAGGGCTAACCATGTACTAGAGTTAATTGCTGTATGCCCATATATTACAGGGGTACAGGTCCCATGGTGGACCAGGCAGTCCCATGGTGGACCAGCCAATCCCACAGTGGCTGGATGTGGACAGGACATAAGCTAAGCCTGCTTTGTAATCTGAAATCCTAAATTTCTTTATAATCTTAAATCTTGAGCTGGGCAAGCCATCTTCTGCTTGTCTTTGAAAGCACAGACCCGTAGCAGAATCTCTGGTGGCCACTCTCAGCTGCAGAAGACATGCCCCATATGCAAAGAATGAGAAAAGCCAACCAATCCAAAAAAAAACCCACAAAATGAACCCAAAAAAAACCATCTCAAGCCAGTTTTGCCCTCTTCTTGGCTAAGGACAACCCAAATTAACTGCTTTCCTCTTTTCTTTTTCCATCCTTGCCTACAGCCCAGGTTGCAGAAGAGAAAAAAGAAGAAGTCCCCACTGTGTCTGGAAAAGTTGACAAGGCTCAGGGTAAGAAAGATGGATCCAAAGGTTCTAAGAAGAAAGATGGTGAAAAAGACCAGAAAGAAGGATCCAAGAAAGAAGGGAAGGATGGCAACAAAAAGAAAGAAGGAGAAAAAGGGGAAAAGAAAGAAAAAGGGGAAAAGAAAGAAAAAGGGGAAAAGGACACTACGGACAAGAAACAAGGTGGTGGGAAGAAAGGTGAAAAAGAAGGTGAAGCTGCAAAATCAGGAGGAGGCACCAAAACCAATGGCAAGGCTGGTGGCAATGCCAAAGCTTCTGCAAAGAAGAAGTGACTTAGCTACAAGTCACCACGTTCTCAGGCTGTTGAGTGCCACTGGATGTGTGGATTTATTACCTTTTGAAGACCAAGTCACTGGGGTTTTTTTTTGTCCACCAAAGGAAAACTTGGTCATATGGCCAGACAGTGTTGTTTTAATAAAATGCATCGTGGAGAGCTACAGGATAACAACTGGAACCAAACTCCAACCTGGGGTGAGAACCAGGATGTTGGAGAAGCATGGAAATGTGCAGAGATGAAGATCTAAACCCATGGGAGGACACAATTCATTTAGAATTCTTCTCGAGGACTTTAAGGAGTTTGATAAATATTTACCAGCGCTCATCTCCTCCTGAATAACATTTGCATGTGAGTAATTTTAGGGCTGCAGTAAATTCTGGATGGTAAAATCCAAAGAACAGAGTTTTCTAAGTCCTAGCTCAGGCAGTTTCTGAGAGGTGGCTTGGACACAAGAAGAAGTCTTTCCTTCCTTCTCAGGTGCCTCTTTCTCCAGACTGCTGAAGGAAACACAAAGAACTGCACTTCTCCCAAAGGATTTATCCACCTTGCCCTCTTTTCTGATGAAAGACATAAATCAAGCTACAGGAGGATGTGCTGAGGATAAAGAAAAAGGCATCTCCATCTGTGCTGCTGTAGGGTGTAGCTGCCCTCAGATCCTCAGCCCTTCAGGAAAGGCAGAAGAGAAGAACCCACTGGGACAAGGGGGATGTGAAGGTGCTCAACATGCTCAGCAGACACTCCAGGTCTCATCTCCAGACTGGGGATTTTGTTGCCCTTTGAGGTAGCTGCTCTTTCTCTCCCCTCCTGGAAAAATTTGGAGGGTAGTTTTACCAAGAGCAGCTTTACTCCCAGGGTGTTCTGTAAATATCTCACCAATTTATGCCTAACGATGAACAGCCATGGGGTAATTAGCTTAAAAAAAGCTAATAAGGGATAGTTTGCAAGCTACTGTAATGACTAAAGCTCTATTTTGTCTCTGATGGGTACATCATCTCTGGCTTACACATTGGCATGGCTTTGTCTACTCCATGGGGCAAGGAGGGAGTTATCTCCAGTAGTTTATTCTCCTCAGGCCCCATGAGTTAGATTTATATTCATCCAACAGCCTTCTGCCCACCTTGTGACTTCAAAAACCAAGAGCTGACCACTGCAAAGCCATTTCTCATTTGTCCCAGCTTCCCTTTGCCCTCTCTCCTCTCCCACCCAGCCCATCCTGGTAGAAAAGGGACCCAGCAAAATGAAGAGCACGTTCTGATGTGTTGGTGAGGTCAGTCAGCTCACAAAGGGCCCCAAATGCACCCAAGAGACTTGAGGAGGAAGGATGGGAAGATGTTCACAACCACAGAAGTAGTTTTGAAGAGCATGGACTGTTCACTGCCTCCAGGTGGGATCTACTATGAGTATGGGGAGAAGTCAGGGTCAGAAGTTCTGCCCCTATTTACAGACAACTGGTTGGAGCTGTAAATCTCCATCCACTGCCATGACACCTAATGATGAGTGGGAATCTCACAGAATCCAGCATGGTGGGGTTGGAAGGGACCTCGGGAGATCATCTTCTCCAACCTCTCTGCTAAAGCAGCATCTACCTCGGGAGATCATCTCCTCCAACCCCTTTGCTAAAGCAGCATCTCCCACAGCAGGGTGCCCAGGATGGTGTCCAGGTGAGTTTGGGATCTCTTCAGAGAAGGAGACTCCACAACCTCTCTGGGCAGCTGCTCCAGGGCTCTGGCATCCTCAAAGATGGACAATATCTATGTTCTGTGCTTCATCTGAATCTCACTCCCACCCCTCATTTTTGGAATGCTGAAGACAAGTGAGGATTGCAGCTTCCAGGAAGGAGCAGGGGACCTGCTTTCAATTCCCTCTTCACATCTGAGGGGTCTCAGATGTCCAGTTTTATGGCTCTGGATGACTCCTGGGCTGTGCATCAGTCTAGGAAAAGGACTTTCATCCATTTTTTTCACCTGGAACAAGAGTTCTGCAGCCAGAGCAAGGGGCTGTAACCCAGGCTGGGGGTGTGGGTGGAGGTGGAACGCCTGCTTAGGTGTCACTTCACCCCCACACACCTTCACCTGGGGAGCTGCAGAGGCTCCTAGGGCCAGAATTAAGGAAAACACTTGGATTCCACCACAGAGAAACTTGATGGGTGCCAATCATTAGATTCCAGTTTCTGCTTTCTACTCTTTGTTGTATGGATTCCTTCCCTAAGGACTCACAAAGGAAATGAAGGAAAAAATAGCTTGAAAGTTGCCTTCAGGCCATACTCTTTGTCTCTGGGCAGAGATGTCACTCCCTGGGATCTCCACAAGGTTGCATGGATGGATTGAAGGGAATACATTTCCTGGGGAATACATTTCCTGGGCAGACTCTCAGGAAAACATCCTGCCTGGTAGAACTTGTCCTGATGTCTGAATGGGGCATGGAGGGAAGTAAATTAATGGCCATGGTCTAAAACCAGGGGGGATTTTCCCCTAGGAATATTTGGGTGGAATTTGAACACCAGTTCTTGGTCAGCCTGGAGAAGAGGAGGCTCCATGGAGACCTTCTTGCAGCCTTCCAGGATCTAAAGGGGGCCTACAAAAAAGCTGGGGAGGGACTTTTTACAAGGGCTTGTGGTGATAGGATGAGAGGTGATGGCTTCAAACTGGAAGAGGAAGATATGGGTTAGAAATTCAGAACTTCACTCTGAGGGTAGTGAGACACTGAAATAGGTTGTCCAGAGAAGTTGTGGATGCTCCATCCCTGGATGAGTTCAAGACCAGGTTGGATGGGGCTTGGAGCAACCTGCTCTAGTGGGAGGTGTCCCTGCACAAGGTTTGGAACTAGATGATATTTCAGGTCCCTTGCAACCCAAGCAATTCTATGATCTCAGTGGGTGTGAAACAGAAGTACTGGAGTGGAGCTCTCTGACCAACAGCAGCTTGGAAGTTGCTTTTCACACCACCAGATGGAGAAATTGCCTTGGAAAAAAAAAATCCCATCAACAGCTGCTGAAGCTCCACCAAGTGCATCGTTCAGGAGGGGATTGGAGCCACGCTGATTTCTCTGGAAACATTGAGTGCAACGACAAATCCCAGAGCCCCCAAGCAGGATTTAAGACCCAAGGCTCAGACATCCAGGTACTAAAGACAGTAGCTCTGCTTTCAGTAGCTCAGGCTTCTGCGTGGCCAGGGTGCTGTGGAGAGAACAAGCCCAGATACTACAGAGCCAGGATGAAGGACTTGCTGGATCTCCTGCTTGGCATATTCCATAGTTTCCCACTAGAGGGGACCTTGTTCTTCCTCTGTGATAAGTAGAGATAGCTTTAAAAGTGCTTCTAAAAGTAGAGGCTCAGGGGAGACCTTTTCACTCTTGGAGGTTGGAGCCAAGTGGGGGTCAGGCTCTTCTTCCATGTAGCAAGTGATAGGACAAATGAAAATGGCCTCAAGTTGCCCCAGGGGAGGTTGAGGTTGGCCCTGAGGAACAATTTCTTGCCCTGGAGGGTTGCCCAGGGCTGTGCCAGGCTGCCCAGGGCAGTGGTGGAGTCCCCACCCCTGGAGGGGTTCCCAAGCCATGGAGATGTGGGGTGAGGGACACGGGGCAGTGGGGACCTGGCAGTGCTGGGGTAAAGGTTGGACCCAATGATCTTAAAGGTCTTTTCCAACCAAAGAAATCCTGTGATTATAGGATTATGTGACTCTTTGGTCTAAAGAAGGCTTTCATGGTATTGATTTATCTACCTGAGCCATCACATCTCCTTCCCTTCTTGTTCTTCCACTGAGTTCTGCTGACAGCAGCTCAGTCCCCCAGGGACATCACTGAGGTAAGAGACAAGAAAATAACCATTGGCTTTGGTGGCCAAAACTGAAGTCAGCTTAGCCAGGTGTCCCCAAGGGGATCATAAGTCTGGATGAGCAGGTGGACAGGAGGAGATGGGAAGCTGAAGGGTTCTTTGATTTCATTCCTGGTTCATTTGGGAAAGAAGCTGATGGAAAATCTGCCAGCATTTCTTTTCCTCCCTTTCCTTTCTTTTCCTCATTGATTTTGCTTTTAGTATTAAAGAAAAGCAGTAAAAAAACTCAGCATAGTTCTGTGCTGATCTACCAGGAGGTGCCACACACGAGGTGCATCTATTGCTAGGAGATGTCACCAGAGCTTTTCACCACTGAATTGCAGTTTTCTCCAAAGGATGAAACCCTCTGCAGCAATTCCAGCTGCCCAAAGGCTCTCCAGGAAAAAATATGGTCTTTATTTCCCCTCTCCTTGTCTCCTGCCTTACACAGTGGGACTCTGAAGAAGACCTGCTGCTGCTTCTTGATTCCATAACGGAGGTCTAGATATTAGAAGTGTCTTGGTTCTGCCTTCAGAATGTTCCTTCTCTGTGCCCAGCTCCCTTTTGACATGTCCCAAAGAAGAAATCTGGATCCCTTGTGCTGTCCTGATCACCTGCTTAGGCCCATGGAGAACAAACAAGATCTTCACTCCATTGGGAGAGTCTCACTTCCACCAGGGAATACGTGGAGCCCCAAACCTGAGGGAGAGTTGTTAAAACTCTAAACCATGGGTTTGTTTCTTTCCAGTGGCCAAAAGAGAAAAGAATCAACACTCAGATATTCTCAAGACTGGAGATGGAGCTTTTCATCTGTTGGTCAGGTTGGTCCTTATGTTACTGACTTGGGTGAACGTTTTCAAAGGGAGAGGATTAAAGAAAATGGATTTTTTCCCCCCC